TGTTACAGAGGAAGAGCGTGCCCAGCATCTCCAAAGCCGCAATCCTCCGCTTGGGATCCCCATTCTTGAATGCCCAAGGGTACTCCTCCACGTGGATCTGCTCGTGGAACCAGTACACCTCCTTCTTTCCCGGCTCCATTTTGTTGGAGCACCATCCTCCCACAAATGCCAGTCCTTCGTCCGAGGCGCTAGCATCGCTGCAACCCCACCAAGAGGACTTCGGCAGAAGGGCGTGTTGAAGAGGAACCGCAGCATGAACGCCAGCATCCTGACCACCTTGGGGGGTTTCCCCACCGTGGTGGTGGCCATCTTCCAGGCCCAAAGGGGCTGAAGCATCGACTTCGCCAGCGGACATGCAGCAGTTGCCCATTGGATGCGTTGGATGCAGCCCAGGGCCTTCTCGATGTCCTTTGAGTGCATCGCCTGCCCTTCCACCATGGTCTGCAAGACCTCCATCACCAGGATTCTTCCAGCTAAGCGGGGCGCCCAAGGCCAGGAGTGTTGCCAACAGCGCCACCGCCAAGTTTACTGCCCCCTCAGCCACAGGAAGTCATCCACAAAGACGAAGTTCCAATCCACTTGAGGGAAAAGTGCGTAGAGGACCCTGAGTAGAAGGGCTGCCAGGCGTCCCCAGTAGGATTGGGCACTGGCCATGCCTACCTTGTTCACCCACCATTCTTCCCCCAGTGAAGCCACCTGGAACCGCCAGTCCTTCCTGACAACCTTCACTCTCCGGTGGGCCTTGGTGACGTCTGAGCAGCACCCACCTGGTGCCCGGCTCCGGCCATAGCCAGCCCCCAGGTGGAGGTTTGACGGCCTCCTTCTCGGGGCCAGGGGCACCCTGAGAGGGAGGTCCCTCCGCAGCTGCCGCATGTAGCCAATGAAGAGCTTGTACCCCATCCAGCACCGTCGGAGCCGTCGTCCTTTCCACCGTCTGGTTCCTGGTGTCATTGGCCCCGCCCACCGAGCCATCGTAGATGGTGCGGATCTTGTCCCCTTCGTCGATGCCCGCTAGGGGGCCGGGACAAAGGTCCTCAATCTCGCAGCCACAGCGCGGTGCTGCCTCCACCTTGATGAAGGGGCCCTCTACCATGCCCATGGGGACCTCCTCCAGGAATGTGCCACGGATGAGCTCACTGAAGTGATCCGCCGAGGGGTAGTTACCCGGCCCGTGAATAAAAGGGAGTTCCTGGAACTCCGGCTCCCCCTTGTAGCTCCTTCTTGAGTGGCCAGATGCCCGGCGAGGCCAGGGGTGGGTCCCCCCTCAGTGGGACCCCTTGTTCCAGATCCCGAGAAAACTGGTGGTCGGGGTCCTGAATGTTCAGCGCCACGCTGTGCAGCCTTCAGCTGGTCGGCCCGGCGCCAGGATCTCCCTGATATCCTCCAGCAGGTCCTCCGGGAAGGGATGTGACCCGTCCCCCAACGAGAGCGACTCCTGGAGGTTGTTTACCATGGCGACGTGAGGACACAGATCTTGGCCCCCATCGCTGCTGCTTTGGACAGTGGCCGAGTCCACGGGGCCAGCCGTCCCAGTGAGGGCTTCCCACCCCCGTCCCTTAGGGGGCGCTGTTTGAAGGCCATCTGGAGGTACATGACCTTGTCGGAGAGGGTGGGCCGATCCGAGATCTCCATGCAATGGCGTGCCCAGGCTCAGGGGAAAGAGTTCCACCCCGAAGTTTGACCGTCCCGCCAGCCGGCTGTGTTGGTTAGTCCCGCCAACGCTTGTTGGCCGGCCTTCAGCCTCCGGGACTGGCGCTTGTTGTCCCCCGGCGTGCTGGGAGAAGGTTCCCTCTGTCGCCGCGGGGGGGTCGTTGGGTTCGCCTGGGGCACCGTGCCCCCCGGCCTCAGCGCCTCCAGGACGGGTCCCGCTCTGCAAAGGATGGCCGCTGCGAGACCCTGCATCATCTGCTCTGGATACTGGCTGAGGTCACTGGAGTTGAGCTTTTCCCCCCTAAGTTGAGCTCCGTGGTTGCATCGCAGATCATGCCAATGGTGAAGGGGAAGGTCCGTTGACAATGTCGTGGACTTCACCACCACCTGGCCCAGGCGGCACTCGTCAAACTTGATGAGGGAGTGGTGGAGTGCGTTCGCCCAAAGAATGCAGGCCCGTGTGACCCAGATCGATGAGCTCGGGCTCTTGAAGGAGGAGCCCACCTGCGGGACCGTTAGTTGACCTACCAGGGGCCAGCGAGGTCAGGTACATCTGTCGGAGCATGAGCACGCTGTCGTTGTCCGTGTCCCCTTACCCGGGGCTCCAGGTCCTCTAAGCCCCACAGGCCTGCCCCTCACCGGCGGCGGGCCACCCGGTTTGGGGAACCATCTGAGAATGCTCCACGTCTTGCAGTTGGGGCCGCCCCCCACAAAGGCGACCTTGCCCGCCATGGCCATGGAGCACATCGTAGAGTAAGGCTCATCTCCCAGCAACCCTTTCGCCTGATGTCCACTGCCCAAATGTACTCCGAGAAGGCCGGGTTGTAGGCATGGAGGTAAGCATCCAAGGCCCCCGCATCATCCTTCCCAGCGTACAGCAGGATGAGGGACGGCTTTGACGACTCCGGCACCGGACGTGGCGTCCACCTTAGTCTGAGCCTCAGTCTTTCCGGGGTGTCCTGCATCCATGGGAAGGTGGGGCTTGCCCCCCCTAGGGTGTCCGTGTGTCCTTTGTCTGACCCTCCGGTCATCTGTCCCTGGGCTTGCTGCTTGCCCTGGCGGTTCTGCCCGCCCTTGGAACGCCCCTTGCCGGGCGGATCCTCCCCTCTGGGTCTCTCTGCATTTTCTTCCCACTGCTCGGTGCGGGGGAAAGGGGTGCTTCCGCCCTTCTGGAGTGGCTGGGTCCGCTCCTCTTCTTCGGTGGAGGGGCTTCCGGGGCCGGTGGCACCCTGGAGAAATCCCCTCCCACCTGAGGCCGTCCTGGCCTCCCCCGCTCTGTCTGCCTTCCGCTGTGGCTCTGGTGGGGTTGGCTCTCCCCCGCTGTGTGCACTCTCGCACTGGTGGCCCTGTGATCCCATGGAAGCCACGGGGCCTATGGCACCCTGAGTGGCCTCCTGTCACTTGGGAAGGTGTGGGCATGCCTGTGGCACATGCTTCGATGGGGGGGCATCACACACCCACCCATCCTTCCTGACCGGGCAGTTGTGGGATCGGCCGCATGATCCCGAACACTTGTTGTGAAGGTGATGATCTCTGCAGTACGCCACCCCTTTGGGATTCTTGAAAGCCCAGTGGTCCGGCCATGGGGTCGAGGAGGTGTTGGGGGACTTCCCTTTGCCGCCCTTGCCCTTCGGCTTGGACCGGGTCGGCCCCGAGGGCCAGGATCCTTTTCCCCCCTTCTTGGGCTTCTCCCACTGAGTCTGCCACACCTTGGGTGCCTTGCTCTTGCTCTTCCCCTTCTCCGGCGCCCTGTTGAGGCGCTCGTAGACCAAGTCGCCCCTGATGTTCTTGAGGGCTTCGGAGAGAGTGGTGCCCTGGTGCACCATCTCGTGAATCTTGCGCCATGCATTGCGCTCTGCGAACAGCAAGGTGGTGTCGCTCGGGGGAGGTTTCCTGCCGGCTATGTCTTCCCCATAGAACCAGGCATACCAGTCATCCAACTCCTCCTTGGTGACCCTCAGGTTGCCAAACTGCGGCAGTGCTGCCGTGCACATCAGGAGCGTCGTCCTGAAGGTTAGGTGCAATCGTTCCAGCTGGCGCCGAGATGTAGGGTGGCTCCTCACCTCTTCTTCATCCTCCCTGTCCCAGCCGTCCACCGTGATCTTCTTGTGGGTGGATGAGGGGCGTTCCCCTTCTTCCGGGAGCGCGCTCACGATGTGTTTTGCCGGGATGTAGCCCAACTCGCCCTTGGCAATCATGCGCCACTGCTTC